CCTAGTTGGGGTGCAGGTACGGCAGATAGTGTAGAACCTTCGGGCGGACTACTTAAATAGGCACTCAAAAGGTGCACATATAGCTTGATATACTATCATTGTAATTACATATAAAACTTCATCTATACTCTAATAAAAAGTTTCCCAGACCAAAGAGGTCACTTTAATACCAAAAAATATATATATATATATATATATTATATATAGACATGATCACCTCCCTGACTCATATATCTATAGTAAAAATCACATGATAAATGGCACACCTCTAAGCTAAATTAATAAGATATAATTTCAAATAACTTGCTTTAAATACTTAAATTAATAAGGTTTCTTATACTTATATAGCAAAATAAAATGATTTATACATATTAGAAATAAACCAAATTAATAGTCAATATCATAGATCTGAATAATCTATTTCATATAAAACAATTTTTTTTTTTTCCTTTGATAATCTTGCACTAATTTATTAGAATATTTGTAATTTACAAAATTAACTATCTAACTTATGTATTAGGCCAATACCCAGCTGCTAAAAGTGCCCAAGTATAGTTATCACACTGATGTTTGCCAATTGGTTTCACATCTGGTGCTACTCACATTTAAAAACCCATTATAGCATAGTACTCAGCTACCTAATTTCACATAAAACAATTGAAAACAAATAGAAGTATAATAGTAAATATTTAAAAATTTCAAATACTGAACTTACTAATTATTCTGGTAGGCAAAGTATGTAGTTAAGCTAGTTGGCTTCGAATTGCCATGAATTGTGTTGGTCTAGCATAAAACTTACTATTTGATCATAGGTAAAAATAAGTTAGTTTGTATTAAGGTTATCATGAGACTATTTTAATAATATAAATTAAGCTACGATCAAAAAGCTCAGCTACAAAACTTATTCGCTATTCTGGTAATGGTATAAATAATTTTGTTACATATTTATTAGGTTAGTTTACATTAAAATTATTTTGGATTTTATTATAAAATACAATAAAAAAATACTCTTACTTGTTATTTCAACGATACACAGTATAAGTTAGTTTTTATTAGTATTAGCATTAGCAAAAAAAAATTAGCTACAGAATTTACTTGCTATTTCTGTGATACAGAGTAACCAACTAAAAATAAATTATACTTATCATTCTAATGACATATAGGATATAGGTAAAGATGTGTTAGTTTGCATTAGATTATTAATGTAGAAAATTTCATATAGATACTAAGGTTGGGCTAGAACTTACTCAATATTCTTGTAATGTATCAAGGCTAAGCCTGCATTGGAATGATTTTTACTTAATATTTTAGTAATCTACAGCAAGTAGTTAAGGGTGAATTAGTTGAAATTAGAGTTATAGAAAAAAATTTTGGTGCAATACTTATTATTTTAGAGACACGGTATATGGTTAATATTGGAAGGTACTGTTAGAAAAAAATGCTTACTAGTATTTGTTGTAATATATAGAAAAATTTTTTTATAAAAAAAATTAATATATAATACCTTTCAAGTCTATAATTTATATTAAACAGTTATTTGGCTTGTAGCAAAAAAAACTGGTAAAATAATGTATTCTAATTATCAGTCAGTATTCTTCATATCAAAGCATCATTTATACTATTAGAAAGTAAGCCAATAAAATTCTTATAATTTACGGTTATATATTTTAATTGAATTAATTTATACATATAATCTAAATGTTATTGTTATACACAAATTTTTTTAGTATATAGTTATAGATACATTTTAATGAGCTCTACAACTTCTGTTAGAAGCCAAAGAGTGATTTACTTAATATAAAAAAAAGTTTTAAATAGAGGCACTGTGTATTTGCACTTATAGTAAAATTTATATATAAAAAAAATTTTTTAACTAGATGACTGAAAAATTACCTATTAAAGCTATTTTTGTTTTTTTGTAAAAAAGTAGATTTGCTTTGATTTTTACGTTATACCTAATCCTGAAATTCGATTGGCCAATATTACAGAGGTGGAAAATTTTTTGTAGAATAACTAAAGCTTTTTGTGAATGATAAATTTTCAGGTATGGGCAAGATTTTTCTAAAATGGGCTGTCTTAGAAATTTTGATCACATGGTTTTCTTTACTCGAGGTAAACAAAATTTTTGAAGTCTGTTGCCAAAGACAATTCGAATTAGTATAACTGGAAAAACTCTTAATAACTTCTTGGAGTTTTTCTTTACCAAGTTTTAAGATAGAATTTGCACTATATATTGTAATATATTAAACCTTATTTATTCTTATTTTTTCGAATAAATTAAAGATTTTTATAGCTTTATAAGTTTGCACATATAAATTATTTCGCTTTGTATCAGAAAGTTGAGAATAATAAAATCATATACTTGGCCTTTTGCTTTTTTTTTGCCAACTTTTCTATTGGTTATAATGTTCTTAACCATAATTAAAACTCTTTAGCATATAAATACTAGCTTAGTATCTCTACTTGATTAGCTTTTATTGTAAGACCTTCTGCTTTTTGATATAAGCAAATAATATTTTTTTTATCTTAGATAAACAAAATTTCAGCCACATAATTTTCCTTATCCAGAGTAAATGAAATTTCTAGAAAAGTAAAAGGCAATATACAATTTTTTTAAATAGATAAAGTATTAGATTCATCAATGTTGTGAGAAATTTCTTGAATTAATTCATTTCCATTTTTTGTACTTGTAGGCTTTTCAGAAGAAGAGATACTAGAGACAACAGTATTAGATATTTTTTGTAATGATATTTGTTCTTGTCTTGCTTTACTAAGTTTTTTTTCTCTATTGCATTTTCTAATCTTATTGCTAATACTTTTCTTTTGAACTTCATCTAAAAAAGTATCTACTGTATCTCTATATCCTTTAATGTCTTTCCTTGATCTGATACCTTTGGTACTTCTTCGATCTGCTTCGATAGTTTTAACTAACTATATACTTCATAAATAGATAACAAATTAGATACATCAATAGCTAGTATCTCTGATGTTACTTCTTTATTATTCTATGGCTGTTCATCTACTATCAGGGAACACTGCTCCAATATTGCAAGTTTGGCTTCAAGCTTTCTGACTCTCGACTTGAGTTTAATATTTTTGACTTCATGTCTAGTATTCTCCTTAATAATCTGCCTCAATTTCATATTCTTGGTTTTAAGCTTACTAATATACTGTCTCTATAATTTAAGCTTAGATGCCATGATTAATAGTATGTTTTATACACAAAGGTAATTATTTAATATATGTAATGATGCTTATATTGATACAAGAAAAAAATCACATGGTTTTAGTAACCTCGGATCATCCAAATTTTGCTAAGAAAATTTTCAAAAATTCTCGATCATATATATTGATATTAATATAATAAAATAAATTCATGAAATATATACACAAAAGTAAACTAATTATGTATGTGATAAAATCAGCCACTAGGGCCAGTTTTATTAATATTCAAATAAAAGAAGATTTATAGATGAATATAAAGAAGATAGTGATCTTTATCTAATCGACTATTAAGAACTGCCTGAAGAATATAATTGCAAACTCGGTGTTTATTTGACAAAATGATCATATTATTTTTAGCCAATTCAGCTGCTTCTAACAAGGAAAGAGAGAATAATTTCATAGAAAAAACAACTACCATGCCAATAGTAGCCTCTTATTTTGTCTATTATATCTTAATATAATGGTCTTATGTACGAAGATAATAATATTTGTTTAAAAAATTTAGATTTATTAAAATATAGTATTTATAATAACATGAAAATAATAAATTACTTATAGAACCTCTGGCACTATAAATTTTATATTGAATCACAAAGGTGACCCCAGCGACTTGGCAAATGATATCTTTACCTTTGTTACCTGGTCCACTAGAAGATAAATATTAAATAATAAGTATTTGTATTATTATTATTAACCAACAAAGAAAACATGGCCTGGAATAGTTTATGGTTCATGCTTCAATATTAGAGTGTATCCTATTCACCAACTTCCCAGCTACACACTTTCTAATATAGAAAGTATCTCTTTAACACAGAGAGGGCCAATGTTGTCTTACAGGAAACATCAATAACTAATAGAGAAGAACATTCAACTATCAAAATAGTTGGCCACAATGAGCTTTCAATTTTTTATAAGATTTCATTGCACCAATGTAGCAGCGTAATTTCAGATACACTATAACTCAACAAATAATCAATAAGAAAACTTACCCAGTGTGTATGTATTCAAAACCGTCCTCTGTAAAGCGATCTACTTTTCTGAAGCTGATGCTTCTCAATTCTGAAATGATATCCCATTTGAGGATATTCCCTAGCATAACTGTTGAATATTCTATCAAAACACTAACAACTTTTTTCTCTGTATTCAACATTGTAAAAATCAACTTTAAGAAAGAAATAAGCATTTTATATCTTATTGTCACGTAGTTTAGCAACACTACGTGTATTACTTTAATTTTCCTATAGGTCTTTACTCGCTTGGCTTTACTATGTGATGACTGGTGTATCGTACCAGATACTACCACCGATTATAATGTATTCGTGCAGATACAATAGTTTATTCACTAAGAACGAAGCTTATTCACGAAGCGAAAGCCAGGCATCTCCCCTATTTGGATCGATGCCTTACATTACTACATTGTTTATGCAATTCTATTTTTAGACTTGGGATCATGCTATTCATGCAACAGGAGAAAACGTTGAACGTCATAAAATTGTTACACAATTGATAAAAATTTTTTTTATATTATTTTACAATACTTTTTTGGAAGGCTCGTTTGACTTATCTTTTCTATGAATATTGAAAATGATTAAACAAACATGAAGCTCTCACTTTGCTTTACAACATATTTTTTGAATCCCCTTGAATCCCACGGTTTCGTCTTTTTGTAAATTTCGCAATTTGATTGATTGACAAATCCCGTAGTGATAATTTGACTGGTCGATACAATGAGTGATCTGTGTAATGGAGAGTGAAAATCATATCTATATTTGGACGTTTCCTCCTGTTCATTCATGCATATCCCGATCACAATATTCGATTAGTGTACCCGATCAATAGTCACATGGGTACTGCTACAAGTACATGGGGCATTAAGAAATACCGCGACACTTATATATTAAATCGAAATCGTCTCATCTTTTTCTTGTGCAAAAATTACTTTAATTATTCGCCATGGGAAATATCAACATGTCGAAAAACCATTTTCTATTTCTCAAAGCGTTACACCACAAATGCAAAAAGCATTACATGCACACTTAGGAGATTTTTTAAAAATTCAAAAAATTCCAAAAAAAACACGTGCACATGTGCATCTTGTGCATGCCAATTTTAAGGGAGCTTATAACCGCCCAGTCTACGGACATGTACCAAATCACGTGATTTTTGCACGTACCGTATATCACGTGATATATAATATACGTACGTACGTACAGTACGTATGTTCGACATAACAGATAATAGTTTACACGAGACTAAATTATTAAAATAAATAGTAATTAATATACACTTATTTCAGACTAAAGCTTATTTATTTTTCAACAATTTGGTAATACAAATAGCAAATAATTAGACCCAAAACTAAATTAAAAAATTTGACCTGTATTAACTATATTAAAACCGTATTGTAGCTTAATTTATCTCAATCAATTAGTTTTGCGACTTAAGTAAGTTGACAGTATCGCCATAGAATTGAAAATTTTTGGTATATAAATCAATTTGCACAAATGATTTATTAAATCGGTGTACTAGCAAAATAGTTAATAACAATATATATTATTAATCAACTTATTGGTACTCCGACTAATGAATCATAGGGCAAATAGATACGTTTAAAAAATCCAACTATCTCTGATCTACATAATATATGCAACTTATATGCACATTATGTAATAGTTACGTTATGTAAAAAAAAAAATAGGTTTAAGATAAAAAATTTTTACATACCACTCAAGATTTTCTTTTACGTGCTACTCAAGACTCTTATTTTCACATTAAACAATACATTTCCACTTGTTAATAAATGCTTAACTATATATAACATTCATGTAAAATCGCATATTGACCTCAAATATACACTTACCTTTCAGTAAATAGCACGTAGAACTTAGTTTTATATTTTGTCAGTTTATTTTGAATATTCTACTTTAACGGAACTTTTATAAAAGCAATGACGGAATCTATAATGCCTAAAGTTAATGACAAGTTTGAATCGTTAGAAGCTTTTGAAGATGCTGCAAAATCAGCGGCTAAATCTAATGGATTTGCATTTGCAAGAAAGGACAGTAATCTTACCGGACGTAACGGAAAATCACCCTTTGTCATTTTGCAATGTACTAAAGGAGGAGAATGGCGTAATAATTGGAACATAAGTGAGGAAACACGAAAAAAAAAAAAAAATACTAGACGTGATGGTTGTCCAGTATACATTAGAGCTGTTGTTACGAAAACAACAGATGCTGATATTATGTGGGTAGTTACAAAGGTTGTACTTGATCACATACATTATATGGTTGAATCAGATGAGGTTGCAATATTTCCTCAATATCGTGTTATGAACTTAAGTCAAAAAAATCTTGTACGACAATTACATGACAATCACGCACCTACTCGTGTTATTACAGCCGTTAACAAAGTAATCGATGGTGGGATTATTTGCACAAAAGATATTGTGAATGAACGTGCTCGTATTAGATATGCGTTGAATGAAGGCTCCAATAATGATTCTGCCCAAAAGCTTCTAAGACTTTTTGAAGAACGTGATTATATGGTTGTACCTTTAAAAACAGCAAAAGGACACTTGACACACCTTTTTTTTTCTCATGTTGAGGCGGCTAAATGTGTAGCTAGATGTCCTGAAGTTCTTATTGTAGACTCTACGTATAAGACAAATGTTTATAAATTTCCTTTAGTTAGTGCTGTTGGTATTAATAATGTCAGTAACGAAAAAGGGGTATTAGCATTTTTTCAAATTGCTATGGCCTGGATAGAAGACGAAAGTGAAGCGTCATATATATGGTTTTTACAAACTCTTCGCACAAAGATTTACAATGCTTATAATTGTTTACCAGACGTATTTATGTCAGATAGAGATCAGGCCTTAAGGAACGCTTCATCTAAAGTATTTCCAGAATCTAACAAGATGTTATGCGTTTGGCATATTCTAGAACAAAATTTAAAAAACCAATTGTCGTAAATTTTTCGAAATTGATGACGAGTATGAAGCATTTAAAAAAGAAGTTGAGGCTCTACGTTTTACAGTGGCTGAAGAACAAATTTCACAGTCTTTAAATGCAGTCAAAAAAGCTGCACAGAAGGCTCGTGTGCCTGAAAAAATAGAATTGTATATTCAGTCATTAATGAAAGATTCAAAAATGTGGATTTCAGCTTACACTAAACAGTTTTGTAACATGGGAATATCGACTACTGGACGATGTGAATCATCTCATAGTGCATTTAAAAGAGCCATTGAAACACCTAGTGACTTGGATAGTGTCTTTCGCCAAATTGATCAGACAATGCGCTTACAACATCTAAAAGCAACAATGCGTACAGGTTCTAATAAAATAGCAATTAATCCTTTTATTCGTCATGATCCTAAATTTAGTGAACTTATTGGAAAAATATCAGTATGGGCGATTAATCAAATCAAAAGAATATTACAAAAGATGAAAGATCAAAGTTTATCTGAAGATAATAATAAAACTTGTGAATGTTCAGATAAAATTAATTTTAAACTTCCTTGTCGCCATATTATTTCAAAAGAAGGTCCAATTCCTTTATCAATTATTAATAAAAGATGGTTTCTTCAAAGACCCGATATTATAGAGCTTCCACGTTCTTCAAAGTCTTCTATTACTGACTCGGAGTTTTATAGTGCTTTCGTTAAAGCTGAAGAGAAATTTGAACAATTACCGGACAATGTTGCTAAAATTGAGTTTATTTCTAAACTTCGCCAAATAACAGAAATGCCATTATCCGAGCCTGTCAAGTTACCACAAAAAGTAGTATTAAAAGGTCATTTTTCAAATACTAAGCGGGAATTACTTTTAACTGAACATCAAGATGCTATTGTGAAAAAGAAAAAAAAAATGTTAAATAATACTACTAAACTTAAAAACAAGCCTATTCAGCAACAACGTGTATCATTGAAACAAATTTCTATCTCTTGTTCAAATTCTAAGCTATATGAGACCAACATTCCTAAATTTATGCACGAATATATTTCTACATATTCTGATGTAGCCGAAGATGGTAATTGCGGTTTTCGTGTTATAGCTCTATCAATTGGAAAATCTGAGGACTTCTGGCCAGATGTTCGAAAACTTATTTATAATGAACTTTGTAGTCAGAAGTCTCATTATATTCAACTTTTTTTAGAAAAAGAAAAAGAGTATAATGAAATATTATATGCAACACAGTGGAAATCTGGTCCTTGTAATAGTGATCATTGGATGATTATGCCATCTTTTGGATATGTTATTGCAAATACCTTTCAACGACCTGTTCATTATTTTAGTAAGGTTATTTCCCTTACATTTCTTCCTGACAACATACCATTGAATCGAAATATATCAATTGCTTTCGCTTACATTTTTGAAAGACAGCATTTTGTTGCCGTAAAACTCAAACCCAACGTGCCTGTTCCTCCTATCATAAGAGGCTGGGAAGACATATGCTCTGAACAAAGTAAGAGGTGGAAGCTTTTGTTCTCAACAAGAATTACTCGTTTTATAGAACATGAAAAAGAATGTGAATATTTGCAAAAAGAAAATTTAGATAATCATATCACTAATTTGACTGTTAGTTAGAAAAAATTAGTATATACGTACGTACGTACAAGGCCTTTCAAAAATTTGAAATTGAAATATACGGTAATAATTTGGAGTGGTATTTAAAAATACCTAATTAAGTTTATTCATGAATGTTTGCTTTCTATATAGAGTTAAATTGCATGTACTGTACGTACGTACATCTGATGCAATAAAGAAATAATTTTCATATACTGGGTCGGTGAAAACTATCTATATAAAACCTTTTTATCAATCATCTAAATGTATTTTTTGGCATATTATTTAATAGTTCTTGTATTTTTATCCACTCAGTACATACGTACATACGTTCGTACGTATATTGTATATCACGTGATATACGGTACGTGCAAAATCACGTGATTTGGTACGTGTCCGTAGACTGGGCGGGGCGGAGCTACTAACGTCGACTAAATATGTCAACTCACGTGAGTTGAATCAAATACATTTATCGATTCGATGTTACACGGATGACGTTAATTTGTAGTCAGTATATAATTGACATTTCTGCATTTTATCCGATCAAAACAATCATTTTATCAAACAAGAAGAAAATAAAAACAAACACGAACATAAACACAGTAAACACAGTAAATGATTAAACTTTTTGAAATTCTTTCTAAAAATCTTGGCGAACTTTTAAATGAAGAAAATGATGACGAGTACAACGTTATTATAGAAGCTGGCGAAGAACCAAATAATCTTGTGTTTAAAGCACATTCTATCGTTTTGAAATCTCGAAGCTTGTATTTTAAAGAAATATTAACCAAGATGGCGAATAATGAAAGTAACATAAAAAAGATTAAAAGAGCCGATATTTCTTCTAAAACATTTGATATGATTATCAAGTAACAACATTTTAATTTATATACCTTTTTTTTTTTTTAATTAAATGTATAAATGGTTTTAACCTTTTACGTGCATAACTTTTTTTTTCATTAGATATATTTATAACGGTGCTGTTTCATTAGAAGATGTTGAACCACCTGCCATATTAGATCTTTTAATAACTTCTAATGAATTTTATCTTGAAGAATTGGTTAAACAAATTCAACAAGTTTTAATTACGGACAAAGCTTCTTGGTTATTTTCGAATTTTTCTCAAGTTTATCAAACCTGCTTCAAAAATTTACAACAATTTTGCGTTGATATTATTGCTAAAAATCCAAACATCATTTTCGATTCTGAAGAATTTATTACCCTTTCAGAAGATATTTTGGTTTCTATCTTGAAAGTTGATTGCTTACAAATTGACGAAGGAAAAATTTGGAATTACGTTATTAAATGGGGAATTATTCAGAATCCTTCTTTAAGTTTCAACCCTAAACAATGGTCTGATGCTGACTTCTTAACCATGAAAAATACTCTCAAAAATTGTCTTCCTCTAATTCGTTATTTTCAATTGTCTGGTGCAGAAATTGTTGAGAAAGTTTTTCCTTTTCAAAAAGTTCTTGATACTACTCTATGGGAAGATATTATGTTGAAATTTATGGCACCAGATCTTAATATTGTTTCAACTATCTTACCTTCTCGTAATACTTCACATACAAATAATATACCTAGTACATCATTACCTTCGATTTCTGCTCCTTGTCAATCATTTACATCAACATTAGCCTCGATTGCAACTTCGTTGAAGAAATGTGGAAAAAAACACCTTGAGAAAGATGAATATGACAAAGCACTTGCAGATTTAACTAAATCGTTAGAAATAGATTCAAATAATGTAGATGCATTGAGTCAGCGGGGGAAAACTTATTGCTTTATGAACAGATCAGAAGATGCATTTACAGATTTAAACAAGTCATTAAATATTGATGCAAATAATACGACTGCGTTGAAACATCGGGGAATAACTTACCGTAAAATAAATAAATTTGATGAAGCACTCAAAGATTTAACTAAATTATTAGAAATCAAGCCAAATGATGCACATGCATTATATGTCAGAGGAAACATCTATTTTGTTTTATCTCGTTATGAAGAAGCACTTGAAGATTTAAATAAATCACTAGAAATTGATCCAGAATACAATGCGTCTTTGAATTTTAGGGGAAATGTTTATTTTAAAATGAATAGAGTTGATGAAGCACTTGCAGATGTAAATAAGTCATTAGAAATTAACCCATACGATGAATTTGCATTAGAAATTCGAGGAACTATTTATCATAATTTGAAAAAATATGAAGAAACTATTATAGATTTAAAAAAGGCATTAGAAATTAATCCAAATAATGCATTTACATTGCGTCTTAGGGGAATGAGTTATTATTATATGCATAAATATGATGAAGCATTCGTAGATCTAAGTAAATCATTAGAGATCGACCCAAATGATGAAGTTACATTGAGATGTCGAGGAATTGTTCTCTATGATATGGAAATTTATGAAAATTTTCGAAATGCGTTAAGAGAACTTGAGCCTAACAATAGAGAGACATTAAGTATACAGGGTGTTGCCCATCACCATATACGTAAACTTGAAACAGCACTTAGAGATTTAACAAAATCTTTAGAAATTGAGCCAAATGATGTATATACATTGTTTACTCGAGGAAGAGTTTATCTCAAGTTAAATAGATATAAAGAAGCAATTGAAGATCTAAGTAAGTCATTAGAAATTGACTCTAATTACACACTTGTATTGCAAACCCGAGGAGAAACTTATTACAAGATGGAAATGTATGAAAAAGCAATTGTTGACTTGGATAATTTGTTAAAAATTGATCCGGACAATATGACTGCGTTAGAATATCGAGCTGAAGCTTATTACAAAATGAACAGATACGAAGATGCATGTGAAGATTTTGCTAAATTATTGGAAGATGATTCCGATAATGAAAGAGCATCGGAAGTTCTTAAAGAACTTGCTGAAGGGAGATGCAAAAAGAAGTTAAAGCTATCTGATTCAAGCCAATAATGGTAAAAACTTTAAAAACTTCAATTTGATTCTTTATGTGCAACAAATTGAATTATACTAGTAAATTGATATTAATTCAGTTAAACAATAGAAAATAGTAGAATAGAAAATAATAGAATAGAAAATGTAATTCATGATTAAGGTTTAATAAACTTGCCTGACAATAAGTCTAAAAACTATATATCTCTATGTTAATCGTATATATAATTCAACCTTTTATATTGCCTAGCAAATATGGTAGCAAATTATTTTTTTTTCTGAATAATGCATAAATCCAATGTACGTTTTAATATATATATATATTTAAATTTACAGATACCGTATTTTCGCGAAATAACGCGCCAGGGTGTAATTTCAAATTTTGGCCTAAATTAAGCTTAATTCGGGCCATTACTCTAAATAACGCCCCAGCCTGTTATTTCGCGAAAATACGGTACATTATACCTTAATTTCACATTATTCTAGTTTGACTACGTATATTGGATATTATTTTAAATAACTTCAATCATATAAATTCTGTACAATTGAAGTCATATTTCTCTTGGCGTCACTAATTTATTACTGTATTATTCAGTATACTTTAATAACTACAGTGTTTGCTAATCTTTGTTATGGCCTTCAAATTTAAACTATTCTTTAGAAGATAAAATCGAGTTTGGATATCAAATTAACTCGTGTATTTGCCAATTCATGTTTATACAGTTAAAAAGTAATTAACAACCCCTGTACTGCAACTTAATTTCGCATTAATTTAATCAAGTGAACTTAATGTTATTTATTAAACTAGTTCCACTCACTTCACATATACTCTTTTATAAATACAAAACTTTACAACAAATTTATTTTATAGACATTTAATTATTGACAATTAATTATCAACATGTCCATTTTACTGGCTCATTTATTTCACCGACACTTAATTCACTAAAATTAATTACCCAACAAGTCCAACAAGTTTAATTCGGGTAGTTTGAAGAAAAGGGACTCAATTATATAATTAAACATTCAAATTGAGTTAGGATTAGTGTTATGGTTAAAAATTAAACTGCTATCAGATTTTTAATAATACAGTCAACCCTCCCTAAATGCATATCGTTGTGACCAAAATTTTGAGAGCTTGCATTAAGAGAACAATAAGAAAAAATAAATTTATCAGGGTTTAGTATACAGGGGGTACCACATTACACAGGACAGTTTATATATGTGGCAATAACTTTTTTTCTCACAAATTAACTTCCAAAAATTTATACCATTTTAGAATGCACTCAAGACGTTGACCAGTTCGAAGGAAACAATTTTGATTTTTTAAAAAAAGTAAATTTATTTATTGCTTTGATAATTCATTAATTTTATTAATAATAGTTTACTGAACTAATTAATTGTTTAAACCTAAAGTTTAAAAGTCTTATGAAATGAACATTAAATTATACAATGCTCGCAATATATGGAATAACTCAGAACACAAAAACAAACGAAGATTTGATGGTATTTCAGTATGCTAATGATGAGGGTCTTCATAAATATTTAAAAAAAATTTTAATACACTTACATTGCAGACCAATTTGCAGATACTTGAAGATATTTCAGATAAGCTAGATAATGTTCACAGATATGTATACATTCATGCTGATTTTCATAGTGGTAATATTTTGCAAGACCGACAATCTTATACCGCAAATCTAGGATTGTCTAAAAAGAAAGATGATAACGCTTCAGAAAGCGAAACTTATGGTGTCATGCCCTATGTTCCTCCTGAAGTCTTAGCAGGAAAACGGCAATTTACACAAGCAGCAGATATTTACCACTTCTACAGGAACAATGAGAAGGGGCGCCGGTGGCGCCCTATTCACTCTTGTATAATAATATGCTTAATTGTTTTTATAATATTTGAAAGCATTTCTTTTAAAAATATCCATAATGAATATTTTTTAAGATTGAAAGTAGAAGTTGTTTTATTATTTTTTGCCTCTATTGCTAGATAAATATTTTATAACAATAATTTTTAGAGCTCAATATTATAATAAATACATGCTATTAAATCCCAAGCAGAAATAGTTTTTTTAAATAATCATTTGTTTCT